TGCTCCCCGGGAGTTAGAGCTCAGGGCCCTGGAGTTGGTGTTTTTCTCCCAGGCCTCTGGTTCTCAACACACTCCCCTCTGCTAGTGTGAAAACCCATCTCCAATGTACGAGCCTCCCTCCACGGTAGGGACCCAGCAGCTGTTTACCACCGCATCTCTGGAGGCAAGAAAAGGTGGGCCCAGAACAGGGCTGTCTGAGTTCATGGAGAAATTATATGGACAGGCTGTGAGGTCCACAGTCAGTGACAGGGGCCCTGACTCAGGGTTGTAAGACACAAGTCTCCCCGTAAGAGTCATTATCAGCACCATTACCATCGTCACCATCCCCACCATCATCACCATCAGCACCATCCCCACCAGCATCACCATCACCACCATCAGCACCATCCCCACCATCAGCACCGTCATCAGTACCACCAGCATTACCATCACCACCATCGTCACCATCCCCACCATCAGCACTGTCGTCATCAGTACCACCAGCATCACCATCACCACCATCAGCACCATCCCCACCATCAGCACCGTCATCAGTACCACCAGCATCGCCATCATCATCAGCAACACCATCACTATTTCTTTCTCCTACACAACAAACCAAAAGTGGCCGCTGACTCTCTTTAAATGTGCAGGGAAGCTGGCCAGGATGTGGAGACCCTGGAGCTTCAGAAGACCCCATGCCCCATCATTGAGCCCGGCACATCCCCCCAGCCAGCCTGCCCCCCTTCCTGACCACCGGGTGCTGAGCCGGGTCTCTCCAAATGCCTGCACACTGGGAGGTGGAACTCGTCCGCGTCAGTGTTTCGGCCAAGCTGGGAACCCCCACCCCTGCTGCTGGAACAGCGGGAACCACTGTGTGTCTCACCTGCATTTCATTCTTAATTCTCCCAGTGCCCCCAAGACACGAGTACTGATATTAGACCTTTTACAGCCATACACATGGCTCAGAAAGGCTGGGCTCTTTGTCTGAGGATGCACAGCTAGTAAGTGAAGGAGCTGGGACCGGAACTCGGTATTTCTCCTCCCTGCCTATGGCGATTCCTCTGTCTACACCTGTGTCTTTGCAGACTAACACTGTCTAGTAGAACATCATGTGAGCCCGATATGGAATTTGACATTTCTAGTCACCACCCTAAAACTAATAAGGAACAGGTGGGATTTGTGTTAATGAAATATGACGTATTTCGTTTAACCCAATGTGAAAATTATCATGTCAATATGGAATCAATAGTAAAAAAATTACAAGGAGAGCCCCATGGTCTGGTATCCGTGCAGAGTCTTAGGGACCCAGCGTGCATCTGCTCTGACAGCTCCTCTGACGCTCACCGCATGTCACGTGCTCAGCAGCCTCAGTGCCGGTCTAGACTGTGAGGGCCCTGCTGGCCTCATGGGCATGTGGCACTCCAGTTGGTGCACGCCGAGCGCTCAGGACACTGTACCCAGACCCAGCGGGCTCCGGTCCCAGGGACACAGGGCGTTCCTTCAGCGCTGTGAAGGAATGAGCAGAGTGTCCACCGCACTATTGTGACCCCTCCTTCCTTCCCAGGCTGCAACTGGCACCCTGTCCGGCCCCTCCCAGATCCCCGCCCTGAACCATATGGAACCCAGTGAGTGTAGCAACCCTCCCCGCTGCCCTGCCGCCCGCTGTCTGCACAAAGCCAAAGGCAGCCTCCCGGTGTTTGGCTGCTTTGCTGGCCGGGTTTGGGGGGGGAAATTTTCTGAAACCTGGGGGAGGTGCCTCTCCCCCATGCTGCTCATAAGCCCAGGGAGACTGCCCAGCCCAAGGTCAGGGCCTGGTCTCCCAGGGAAAACAGTTCTGTTCCCGTTCCAGAGGGCGAGCCTGCCAAGGGCCGTGCCAGGTGGGCCCATGAGCCCGTCCCTGCCGTGGTCCCACGAATGCCCCACAGAAGCCACAGGCAGAAGGGCCGTGAGTTCGGAGCGGCGTGTCCAAGTGGCCAGAGAGGCTCTGAGCAGGGGACGCGTGGGTCTGGGGTTTGGGTGGGATTTGAGATGCTTGCTCAGACCCCAACTGCAGACAGAGGTGTAGTGAAGGCGTCACTGCTCACGTTCTCACTCTTCTGAAAAATGGCTGTGCCACAGGCTCAGGCCCACGCCCTTCTGCAGGGGCGGCGGGGAGGAAGAGCTCGCACTGCATCCCCAGCACGTCCCCCTCAGGCACAGTCGCACACGCCGTGGTCACGCACACACGTGCCATGCACACCACACACGCACTTACATGAGAGAGGTGGTATGGGTGGCCGACCAAAGACCTCGTGTTCGCCCAGGAATTTGTGAGCACGACATTTTGTGAGCCCAGTCCCTGCTCTCCGACCCTCAGGGGGTCCCGTGTTCACTCCCCAGCCGCAGGGAGCTGGGGGCTGCCATCGTGGCCCCCGTAAAAAGGGAGGGCAGTGAGGCCCAGCGCAGTTCAGGGACTTAGTGAAGCCGGAAGGCCAGGGCAGAGCCCGCCCCGGCCTCTCTCTTCTGATGACATCTGCCTTCTTGCCTCACTGGCCCGTAAGCTCTGGTAGGGACAGGGACCACAGGCTGGTCACCTCTGTACAAGTATGGGGACCACAAAGGCAGTGGGCTTATGGCCAAGAGCTAGACCTGGGTTCAAATGTTGGCTCCACCGTATATTCCCTGTGTGAGCTCAGGCAAATGACTTAACTTCTCTGAGCTCCAGGTTTTACATCTACAAAGGAAGATAATGACATCCACTTAATACTATTGCCATGGGAATCGTAGGAGGCACTTAATAAAGGTCTGTTGTCTGAACTGAAGAGGGTTTTAGTTATCTACAGACAGCGTTGAGCCCAGGACCACACGGAGGGCCCTTCTCTGAGCGCCTGGTGGTCACTGGATGCCGTGGAAGGAAGACGGGGATGGCGAGAGGGGGAAGCAAGTCTGCTCCGCCTGCACCGTTATCACGTATCACGTTCCCCAAGACACTGGCTCGGTTTCTGCACTGGCTGCCTGTCGCGCCCCTGATTTATCTCTTCCTGCTTCGATTACAGACCCTTCAGATACTGCTGTTCCCTCTGACAGGGTGAGGGCCCCCGGCCCCACTTCCTCAGCCGCTCCTGGCCATCCGCACGGGCGCCTCCCCCCAGACGCACATCCATATCACTGTTTCCATTGGAACCCCACCGGGGCTCTGCATGGCCTTGCACCCCCCTCACGTGCCAGTGTCAGGGACAGCTGCGGCTGGGATTTGGCTGTAAGCACAGCACTGGTTGCCATTTGTCCCACGGCCCTCACAGAGCAGGGGGCGGGGGTGGTAGGATGCCCCAAGTGGCCTGGTGCCTGGCTTTGTGCAGAGAGCTCCCGAATTGGGGAACAAGCGGGTCGTGTGGGGTTCCCGGAGATGGTCCCAGAGGGGCCTGCACAGAGGAGGGGCCGCACGGAGGAGAGGTGCCTTGTCTCCTCCCAGGAGCCTGCCCTCCATTCTGCTGCCTAGGACCGCCTGGGCTCCTAGGTCTTGTGCGTGTCCCTGGGCTGAGCCCACAGCTCGGCACCCCCTCCTCCCCAGCACCACTGGCTCTGCAGAGACAGGCAGGGCTCCAGCAAGACGCCCCCGCAGGCTTGTCCCCTCCTCTCGTCACACAGACCTTGCTGTGCCGCCCTCACCTCTTCTCCAGCCAGCCCCTGCCCTCCCAGCCGGAGCAGCCCTGAAAGGAGGGCTGGCTTGGCTCTCTCTGCTCTGCAGGAAATGCTCAGTTTCCCCTAAGCTGGGAAAGCTCTGGAAGAAAGAGAGATTTGGCAAGAGAGAGCTAAGTTTGAACTCTGGCCACTGATGGATTCGGGGACCTTGGGCAAGTCCCTTACCTGCTCTGCCTCCGTTGCTTTCATTTGCAGAAATGTTAATGTATATCTTTTGTGTACGGCAGACAGACACCGCACAAGGCACAGAGGATTTAACCCCGAGTCAGACAGACTCTCCCTGCCCTTGTCATACTCTGCACAGTGCTGGGGGAGACCACCACCCAGCTCCCACGAGGCACCTGGACTACAGACGGCGTCAGCTCTCAGCCTCAGGTCTAGCCCAGTCAGAACCGGTGTCTGGGAGCCCACAGCTAAGCTACTTGCTTCCTGAGCCTCAGTGTCCTCATCCATGAATGGGGCCCATTGATCCCAAGGGAAGCCATCAGTGTGAGTGCACAAGAAAGCCCCTCTCGCCATCCTCCCTCCGGCCCTTGGCTTCCCAAGGGGCCCTGGCCAGGCAGAGGGATCCTGGATGCCGAGGCTCTGCCAGCTGCCCCCCGCATGCCCGTGCCTGTGCCCACACCCACGCCCACACCCAGCCCTGCAGACGGCCTCTGTGCCGCCACGTGTCTGGCTCCCTGGGCTTCTGGGAGGTACAGACCTTCCTCCCTTCCCCTTGGCGTGCCCTGGAACAGAGGTGGGAGACAGAGAAGCCGAGGAGGTCCCGGAGACAGTGGGCGTCGTGCGCAGGACCCAACCGTGCATGCTGCATAAACTAGAGGTCCGTGTCAGGCCAGAGCCGCGGCGGACGGGGGTTAGAAATTATCCCGAGCACTGTTTACTCAAGAGGCTCTTTTGTTGAAAGCTGGCATTTTCCTTCCAACTTTTCTTGGCATTTTCCACGTCCCCTTCCTGTAGTATACCCAACCCTTGGGGACTCATTTTTTCCAAATTGAAAGACGCAAGAAGTCTGCTAACAACTTGTTCACTTTATGTTGCTCAGAGAGGGTGAGGGACTAGCGCAAGGACACACAGCCAATCCTGGCAAAGCGGAGTCTGGAGTCCAGCCCCCCAGTTCCCAGGGCTCCTTCCTTTCAGCTTTGTTTCAGGTGTGAAGGGAGGCGTGGAGGGCTTGTTAGTTTCGTTCCTTCAGGTTGCCCCTTCCTCCTGGTCCTGCCGGAACCTGCTGACCGCATGCAACCCTCCTCCTCCCCCTGGGCCTCCCCCTCGCCCCCCTCCAGCCCCTCTGGCCCTGCGGGGGGGCCCCTCTCTGAGCCCCTCTAAGAAGGACTCACCGTGGCCAGGGTGCTGCCAGCAGCTGCTGAGGCCACTACTGCCAGCGTCCAGGGCAGGAACCACCTCATGCCTGGAAGTCAGTGGCAACGGCATCGACCGAGCAGCCCAGAAGACCCACCACCTCTCGGGACTGCTGGGCCGGGACTGGCCAGCCCATCAGGAGCACCGGCTACAGCTCTTCCCGCAGCCCTCGGGGGGTTTTATTAAAGCAAGATCTGACGTCAGGGGTAAGGACAAACCCTGCATTTTCCTCTGAAAAAACTTTTCCTGCCTCTCTCTCTCTTTTTTCCCTTTCTTCCCTCTGTCCCCACCTCCAGTCCAGGCTTGGCCGGCCTCCCCGGCTCTGACAGTCTTAAAGGGAAAGTTACAGGGTTACGATTTCACACGGGCCGGCGGCACATTCTCACAGAGGACCTGGGTCATCCTGGGGAGTACGTCACACAGGTGGGGCGGGGGACTCCCTGGGAGGGTGCAGGGCGGAGGTGGAGCTCCAGTGACCCTGGTGGGCGGTGGGGGCTTTGAAAGCCCTCCCAGTGGGGAAAACGCACCCGCTCTCCTCTCTCTGGGCTGCTCCCACTTCTGGTTTCCATTTGCCATCTTCCGCTCGCTCCCCCGGCTGTCAGCGAAGAGGACAGCTTCCAGTGCGAGATCCAGAAATGATAGGAATTCACCAAAAAAACTCAGTGCTGTGCTCAGGTTCACACCCTTATCTCCACTGCAGATTGAAGCCGTGGTCACACATTTGCAGGAGCGCCTTCCCTGCTCCGGACCCAGGCTCTTTGGGGCTGGTGTCGTTTCCCCATAGCTGGGCAGCTGTCCTGCTGGGTTTGGGGTGTCTGGCCTTCACCCCCTGCTGGATGCTTGCCACACAGGTGAGGGGTCTCTCATGGGTCCTCTTCTGACCCCGTTCAATTCCCCCAGCCCCATGTGGACTTCAGGCTGAGAGACAGCCTCCCGGGTGGTCCCCCAACCTCCCCTCCCCACACTGTCCACCGCCAGTAGGGTGGCCCCTGGGACATCGCAGGAGGTGTGGCCCTCTCCAGGCTGCAGCCTCTCAAAGCCTGCCCACTGACTCAGCGTGGGGTCCCCAGGCCTGTCCCTGTCATGCTCTTGGCCACCATGGCCCCCTCGCTGTCCCTTCCCACCCCAGCAAGCGTCCTCTCTGGTCCACAGAGTACTCCTCCCAGCGCCATGGGATGCCTTCAGAGACCGCTCTCTGACACTGCAACGGCGAGTCGGTGAAAGAGGGGAGCTGAGCAGGGGCCCTGAGATCCTGGGTGACATGGGGGGGGGACAGTCTGCATGTTCACAGGCGTGAGGCCAGGGTGTCACACGGCGTCACTGGTTCCTGTTGTTCTTGGTGATTTATTTTCACCTGTGCTGCAGAGGGTCCAGGGCCCACTGCCAAGGCCGCCCAGGGCCCCCCTCAGATCGTAGCATTTACCTGCTCACTCCCACCCACCCCTGCTTCCCACGCCTGTCCCCCGTCCTCCCCAACAAGGATCTGCAGCCTCGACTTGGCCCGATTTGTGTGTGTGTCCTTGTCACATAGGTAGCATGGCTGTTGCTTTGACAATGGCATGTAAAGCACCCACTGCGTGTTAAGCACTGACTGCTCTGAGCACCTTGCAGGTAGGTACTTATATGGTCCTCTCTTTATAATTGGGGAAATCGAGGCACAGAAAGCTGAAGGAATTTGCCCAAGGTCACACAGCTAGCAAGCAGCGGATTCAAGGACTGGCCCCTGAATTCTGTGCACTTTTGAGCGTTTCACATAAGTGAAAGGTGGGATGCTACAGCTTCCTTCCCTTTCTCTTCGTTTCCACAGAGTCCTAGATTTTTCAGATCCCCGGGCTGCCTCTTTCTAGTGCATTGCTTCTGACTGTGGCCTCAGTTTCCCTGTGTGTGACCTTCAGGCCCTGTGTCATCTCATCCCCCTCACGAGGGGCCCTCATATCACCTCCACAGACACGGCCCCTTACAGGCCTATTGGTCTGTTCCCTAGGACCCGCACTTCACCACTGGTTGTGACCATAGCTGATGACATTCCCACGCACAGGTGGTCCAGTGCTGCGGGCACAGGTCTGGGGTGGACCTCCATCTCCGGTCCCTCACCCACTGCGTGACCTTGGAGAAGTCGCAGAAACTCTCCATGCGCTGGCTTCCCCGCCTCTAAAGCAGGGATGAGAGAGGGGCTGATCACTTGGAGCAGCTCGTGGCATGGGGGAGTGCTGTGGAGGAGGCAGGAGGCATGCTGAGCACATAGTAGGTGCTCAGTAAAAAGCTGCAACTGTGGTGGACATTCTCACTCAGCCTCTACAGTGGAAGCTCTGCAAGGACAGGGTCCAGACTGGCCACTCTGTGTCCTGCATTCTGCCCTGACACATAGTAGGGAAGGATGGGGGCCCACACCGGGGGGCAGTGTGAGGGCTGGGGTCTCACCTCTCCCTGCCTGGGACCCCCAATCCAGCTGTCTGCATCTCCCTCTCAGCCTGAGCCAGCTCCCAGGCGCCTCCCCTAGCAGATGTCCCAGGGCAGCTGTAAAAAAATTCCAAAGTGGGGCTGGCGGGGAGGGGGTCTCAGAACCCAGGCTGGGTGAGAGCATTCCCACGCCAGACAGAAAGGCCCCCTTGAGCGGAGCCAGATGCGCAGAAGATCCCAGGAGCCTGGAGGACCAGGCGCCTGGAGGCTCCAGATCTGCTCACAGCCTGTTTGTTTGTCCTATGTTTGTCTCGCGAAGGCACACGGAGCCCACACAGGGCAGGCAGCACGGCGCCAGATCCCGGGGCCACTGAGACACGACGTGCCATTGCCCGGGCACAGAGGCTGCATCTGCTGAGCCACCCCGGCTGCTCCAGAAGGCAGAGTGTGGAGCAGGGTCCGCTCCATAATCCACCACCCTGCCAGGCCGCCTCAGCAGCCCAGGCGGGGCTCTGCCTCGCTTGCCGGGGGCCCAAGCAAGAAGGGGGGAGACACTGAGGGTGTCAGGGTGAATGTTCTCCAGGCCCCAGCTGGGCCAGCTGGCTGTGCTCTGTGAGGCTGGGCCACTGGGCCACCCCTGAGGGGCTCCCGTACCTGCCGCTCAGTTCCTGAGTCACAGCAGGAGCACACCTTTGGCTTCAGCCTTGGGTGCAGGTGGGGGTCCCCAGGACTCCCCACTCCTCACCTGGGAAGGTGGAGGGGAAAAGCAAGGGCTTTGGAGGCAGGCTGGCCTGCATTAAACCCCTACTCCATTACGTGCCAGGCAGGAGGTCTTGGGGAAGCCACGTTACCTCTTTGAGCCTCAGTCTACCTGTCTATCACTTGGGCGCAGTGAAGACATCTGCCTCCTAGAGTTGCCACGGGGAAGGAATTGTGCGGAGACCAGGCCGATGCTGAGTAAACAGCTGTCAGGAATACTCTTCAGTGCTCCTCACCGCAGAGACTCCGCCTGCGCCCCCGCCCGGCTCACCTGGATCTCAACACTCACTCTCCTTCCGAGTCTCCTCCCTGCAGCACGGCTGTGGGTTGGGGCACAGTGTCCCTGCCCCCTCCAGTGAAGCCCCAGGGCTCCCTGAACTCCAGGCGAGGCTTTCTGTCGATCTCTCTGGCGACACTAATTGCGGCCCAGGCAGATGAGGAAACTGGGAGGCGGACACGGCAGTGCCGCCCGGTCTGACTCAGGCCCAACAGCCCCCAGCAGCCCGTGGGACATCTCTCCCGGAGCAGAGAGGGGTTCAGCTCACCTCGGACCCCTCGCCTGCAAACGCCCAGGCGTCTCAAACTCTTCCACCCAGAGACACCCTTCCCATCGGGACTGGCAGGGTGTCTGCGGCTTTTCACTCGGAGAATCTGGGGTGTCTCGGTTACCAGAAACCAGGTCCTGCAGGGCTGTGCCTGCCCCGCAGACAATCCCTGAGACAGTCCGGGGGCCTTGCTCATTCGTTCAACGCACATACGATATGGAATAACCACTATAGTACAAACGCTCTGTGCCCCAACCATTCATCCCTCCCTCCCTCGGCCCCTGGCAACTCTTGACGTTTTTTACTGCTACCACCGTGTTGCCTTCTCCAAAGTGTCACAGCGTTGGAATTATACAGTACGTGGTTTCTTTCACTTCGCAACATGCCTTTACGGTGTCTCCGTGTCTTTTCACGGCTTGACAGCGTGCTGCTTTTCAGCACTGACCCGCCCACCTACCGCAGGACATCCTGGCAGCTCCCACGTTTCGGCAGTTATGGATAAAGCTGCCATACACATTCACGCGAAGGATTTGTGCGGACGTAAGTTTTCAAGTCCCTTGAGTAAATAAACACCAAGAGGCACAATTGCTAGAGTAGGTAGGAGTATGCTTAGGTTTGTAAGAAAGAGCCAATCTGTCCTCCAGGGTGGCCACACCGTCAGCACCCCACCAACAGGAGTGGGTGCTCCTGTGGCCCCCCATCCTCGCCGGCACTGGGTGTGGTTGGAGTTCTGGGGTCGGGCCGTCTAATCAGTGTGCAGTGGTACCCCATTATCACTTCAATTCCTCCCCATGTGTTAGTTCGTCACCTCAGAGTCACTGGATGAGGCGGGTGCTGACATCACCGCATTTACCTACATGGAAACTGCAGCTCACAGAGGTAGGGTGTTACCCAAAGTCACAGGAGGGGCAGAGCTGAGGTTCAGACCTCGGACGGCAGGTGCCCTCCTCACTCAGGGGAACGCCTTTCCGATCAGGAGCTTCGGAGTATTGGGGGAGTCTGGGAGTCTGGGAGTCCTGGGCAGGTGCGGTAAAGAGCTGGGTGCCTGCTGGCTCACAGGGTCGCCCTGGGTTCGGGTTGGCAGCGGGCAGGCCGGAGGCAGGCTCCAGGCTGGGAAGCAGCCAGCAGCCTTGCTGTGGGAGGGAGCGTCCCGCTACACTTGTCCTGGGTGCAGAGGCTTCCTGAAGCACCCAGGCGTGAAAGGAACGACAGAGGAGCAGGTTCAAAGCCAACCTGTGCCTAGAGACACCCCAGCAATGGAGTCATCCCGGGGAAGCCAGCCAGGGGCCAGGCTAGGCCAGCGATAGGACTGTCTGTTTTCATCCTTGACCTCCTGGACAGGGGAGCAGCTGCGATGCAGCCCAGTCTCCAAGTAATTGTGCTTGGATTCACCTGGAAGCTTGGACGTGGGCAGGTTCCCAGGACCAAGGCTCAGAGGTTCTGAGTCTGTGTCTGGGAAGCGCTGTGGAATCTGCCTTCACAGAAACCCTTCCTAGGGCGTGTGCAGGGGGCTTCCTTGGAGTTGACCTTGAGAGACTGGGCAGGGCGGGCAGGCGTGTGTGGTGGGTTCCTGCAGGCCGGTCGGCCCAGCCCCTTCGGAGGAGCTCCGTCTGGGGGGTCAGGGTGGGGGTGGGGCTGCTGCTCTCCTGCCCTGAGCCTCTGACTTCCCACCTGTGAAGTGGGCGACAGCATGTTCCACCTGGACTCGTGAGGGGGCAATGAAGCAGCTGCTTCAGCAAACCACTGTGGCCCGGGTGAACGTCTGAACACAGAAACCAAGGTGCTGGCTGGGCCCTGCTTTCTCCCGACACTCTGTAGGAGAAGCCTTCCTGCCTCTTCTGGCCTCTTCCTGCCTCTTCTGGCCTCGGGGGGCCCAGGGGCTCTGTGGATTTTGGGCCCACAACTCCAGTGTTTGCCTCTGTCTACACATGGCCTTCCCTCCTTCTCTTCAAGTGTCTGTCATTGGGGTCTCTTATCAGGACAGCGATTGAATTTACAGACCACCCAAATAACCCAGGATGGCCTCACGATTTTAAACTTAATAGCCTCTGTAAAGGCCCTGTTCCCGGAAGGGGTCGCATTCTTAGGTTCTGGAGACTGGGACATGGACTTTCTGAGGGTCACCGCTCAACCCCCTGTACTGACTTACATAAAAAGTGCAAGGACAGTGCCTGGCATAGTAGGGGCTGAATAAACATGACTCCCCTCCTCCCACCACTCTGGCTTCTCTGTCGGTAAGTCTGTCATTAACACCTTCCAAGTAAATACCCACCTGACCACTTCTTAGCACCTGCATGGCCTCGCCAGGGATGGTGCCAACCCCGGGGTCAGGGGCTGGCTGTCCTGAGAAGAGCCACAAGGCTATTCTGACAGCCCAGTTGCCAGCTGAGGCTGGACGCAGGGGTTCAGGGCAGTGGCCGTGGTCGATCTTGGGGCTCCCCGGGTACAGTGGTGGAGCCTGGCTGGCCCTCAGGGAGAATCAGCCCCCTGCCCAACATTTCCTGATGGTGTGGCGCAGATCAGCACCTCGCTCCAGGCCTCAGTTCCCCCTCCGTGGGATGAAGAGGAGGCCCCTGCTCTGCAGCATCAAGGCCGGGTGACTCTCATTCAAATGACTTATCTCTATGTACAGAAAGCGCTGGTTCAGGGGATGGGGCCACAGTCAAGAGGAAAGTGGGGTTTTCTAGACGTGAGAGACCAATTCCGTTCATCTCGTACCCAGCACCGTCCCTGACGACCTCCCTGCCTCGTCTCTTACCACTCGCAGCTTCCTCCTCCTCTCAGCTCAGGCCAGGCTGGGCGACCCACGGCTCCCACTGAGCCGTACCTGAGCCGGGCTGCACCTGAGTGCCAGCTCTTCCTACAAAGCCTATGGCAGGTTCTTCCCTACAAACTCTTACTCATCCTTCAAGGTTCTGCCCAGGGCTCATGTCCTCCAACAAGACTCTGTATCCCCCAGATTCAATGGGGGAGCAAAGAGTTGTCACAAGTACTGTGGGAATAGGGATTCCATTTATGTTGCAAATGGAAACTTATTTATAGCAACGACTCCACATGGGAGTTTCAGGTAGTAGAGCTTCACGAATGAGCGTGGAACTGGGCCAGGGAAGGTTTGGGAGGAGGGAGCCTGTGCAGGGAGTGGGGAGGGCCGAGAACGCTCCCTAGTCAATCTACCAGGTTTCGATTTTGACCCTGTTGCCCATCAGGGTCCCCGTGTTCACCTGGTCTCTGGAAGTTCCCACTCTGAAACTCCATTGTCCCTCCTGAACTCAGGGAGCCCACTGGACGGGAGCCCCTTCCTCCATCAGCACGACCTGTGGAGGGCACCCCACCAGAGGCTCTCAGGGATGCGGGCCTCCTGCACCCTGGTCTTCCGCTCAGGCTTGGAGAAGGGTGTGTCCTCTGAATACTCCACCGGGTATGAATCAGGGCGGGTGAGAAGATTGTATGAAAGCCACTCCAGAAATCCCGCCCCCCAAGTCCATTCCAGAACACCAGGGAAGCCCTGCACTCCAACGTCCTCCTCTACTGTCCACCTTTGGGTCAGTGATTCTACCAGACAAACTGCTAGGACCAGTCCCAGCTGCTTGGGCTGACATGGTGCATCCAGCATCTCTAGTTAGTGAGTTCGTGTCAGTAGAAAAGGCCTGATCCAATATCATGTTCCTTTCACCCTGACCCAACATCCTTACAAATCATTTCAGTACATGTGACCCAGGCGCCTGTTGATATAAATTAGCAGTGTGTGCAGGTGACAGATCACATTCCTGGGTGCTGCTAGAAATTGCATCTGGCCATAAATCTCAAAGCAGGAGGGGTGGTAGAGGTGGATCCTGGGAAGATTGCCACCCCCCTGCATGCAGCTACCCCAGGACATTACTTAAGAGGCTCTACAGACATGGAGGGTGTTCCTCTCAGCTGGGGAAGAAGGGTTGCTTCAGCTTAAAAAAAGGAGGTTTGTAGCGGGAGGGAGTTGGAGGTGGTCCTCAGATTCATTGGGATTTCCCATCTCCAGGTGGAGGGCCCCCTTCTCCAATCCCTCCTTCCTTGCAAGGCTGTGGATTCAATTTGCATTATAATTCAGCCACCCTGAATTTGCATCAAAAGTCAGGATTTAGTGTAGGGTGTGGCTTCTCAACCCTGCGGCCACAAAAGACAAGGATTTCTTTCAGGACCACAGTACAAGTGTGGGTGTGTGTGCACACACGTGTGCACACACACACAACTCCCACTAGTTCATGGTTGTTCTCAGTAGAAAAACATTCTAGACACATGACAGCCTGCTAATATTCCCGGTTCCCCCAAGCTCTGGATGGGGACTGCCTGTGTCTGCCACGGGTGGTCTTGTCTGTGCACTGTTGAACACTCGGGACCAATGGCTGCGAGTCACGGCATTCTTAAAGCCACACCCACCCACCGCCCCGGCTTCCTGGGGCTGATCCACTAAAGGCGAAGCCTGCGTGGCCACTCGCCCCCTGGTGTCGGCTGGGGAGGCTGTTCCGCAGAGCACTCGGGCGTGCGCCCCGTGGCCCGGCAACCCCAGTCCCCGGACACTGTCCTAAGGACCAAAGGGACATGTGGAACGATGTTCATCTGGGCTTGCTCACACTGGGGAAGATCTGGAGGCAGCTGGGTGTCCATCTGAGGGCATGGGACGATCAGGGTGGACAGCCTGACCCCAGAGGCCGGTGTGGCAGTTTGAAACAACACCCAGGTACGCGTGGAGCAACAGGGGAGACCCTCCAGCCCAGAGCCAAAGGGAAGACAGAGGGCCGGAGCGAGGTCTCCAGCCAGCACTGCCCGCGTGAACACGACTCAGACATGCTCCCCTAGTTACAGATTCATGTGCGTGTTCAAGGGCACAAGCTAGAGATGCCGCCCGTGCGTGAGGGAGAGAACGGGTGGAACTGGGGAGGAGGGGGAACAACAGGGACCAAGAGAAGCAACTCGAAAGCACTAACGCTACAGCGTGATACGCTGGAAAATACTGTCCACCTCACCTGTCTGCGCCCTGGGGCAACAGCACAAATTTCAAAGAAATTGAAAAAGAAGGAGGAGGAGGAGGAGGAGGAAGAGAAAGGAGGAAGCAGGGGGAGCGAGAATGAGGAAGAGGAGACAGGGGAGGAAGAGACGTGTTTGCACAAACCCCTGTGCGGGCTCTTCGTGGCGGCTTCCGTGGCGAGAGCCCCACACTGGAAAGGACAAAGGAAACGCCCGCCCACAGGCGATCGTCCAACCCAGCGGGGCTCAGCCGCATGGAGCAATACTGCTCAGCACCGAAAAGCAAATTAGGAACCGGTCACAGTCCATGCCTGCTGGTGTCAGGGAACGAGAGGGTCACCTGGCTGGTGGCTGAGGACCTCACTGGCCCTGGAGATCTGACCCTGGGCTCTGAATCGAGGGCTTTCTTTACTTTCGACTCTGTGTGTACAAATAGTAGGGAAGGCCTCAGATATTTCTGCTTCGGTGGACTTGGAGCAAGTGCCTGAACTGCTCAGTACTCTGTTTTCCTTTGTGTTAAATGGGGATGCGGCGCTTGTGCCATGGGGAGTGGCGTCCATGCAGCGGCCAGCGAGCTGTGATCTTAGCCCGCGGTGGGGGCCTGGTGCAGGGGCAGGGCGCCTCCCTTAGGGTCAAGGGCATGGTTGCTGGCTTCTGCAGCACTCTCAGGCACTGACACGCTCTGAGCCCCTCTCTGGGCCTCAGCTTCCTGTTCTGTAAAATTAGAGGTTGGAAACTTCTGCCTCCGACTCCCCCTGACTTGCCAGGCCAACCTCAGCTCCTTCCTCAGAAGCAGGGGCTGAGGGTGGGTGGCAGCCACCTCGCCTGGCTAGCCAGCAGCCCCCCACAGGGATGGCACTTGATCCATTTGCTTTGAAGACTCCTGGGGCATCTCGGGCTCCGCGTGGGCAGCTTGGCACGGGGCCGGTGCCTGGTCCCACTGTCCCCGGCCCGCGTGCTTCCTCAGGCACAATGCTGCCTGTCTTCTCTCTTCCAGATCTGGGTTAGATAAATCGTCTGCTTTTTCTCTTCC